TCTCAACATATAGCATCACCATAATTATTCACAGAACACAGGCAGATAAATTCCCTTCAAAGCTTCTGCAGCATTCAGTTGCGATTCAGACGCTGTTTGGAGAGGAGACGGTAAGTAATACCCTTCAATTTGATTTTGGTGGTGTAATTTCCCCCCCTGTTGCAACGACTTTTTTAAAAGCCTGTGTTTAAGTATAGCCTGCATTTTTAGCAGAGCTCTCTATGAATGTACTGTAGAACTGAATAATAGTTATACCTGCACTATCCTATATCCTATCCTATTGAACATTAAGAATATAATATATTCTCAGCTGGATCAGGCCAAAGGACCAGAGGTGGGGAATCTATGACCCTCCACATGTTGCTGGTCTCTGGCTCTCCTAGTCCCTAGCCAGCCAGGTTGAGGCTGATGGGAGTTGGAGTCTAACAACATCTGGAGGGTTGCACAGGTATCCCATCCCTGACGTTAGTACTCATAAGATAATAAGCTAAACATGAACAGGCTTTTGAAGGACTCTCTAATTTGATTCAAGAACTTACTTTTTGAGAGCTGTGGAATCTGCATTGAACTAGAAAGAACATAGTTCAAATGTCACCTCCATCATAGATGGCTTTAGGTGTCTTTAGGTAATCTCTCAGCATCAGGCTTTAATAATAATAATAATAATAATAATAATAATAATAATAATAATGCTGTAATAATACTAAGATACTTCACAGGTTATTCATTGAAATAACACAACTGAAGACTGGGGAGGGCAGGGGAATGAAAGGTTGTCACAGCGAAGAGGGAATGAATCCAGGGAGCAGGATTAGATCTATGGTCTTAAATTGGATGAGGATTATATCCTAGTTACCCCTTCTTCAGGAGGGGATTATATCCTATCCTAAAGAAGGATTATATTCTCATTACCCCTTCTTTTTGATTCATGTGGGTACAAATAATACTGTAACACATAGCAAGGGACTATGAGACATGGGGCAGGGAGCTGAAGGGACATGGGGCACAGGTAGTCTTTTCATCACTCCTTCCTGTTAAAAGTCATGGCCCAAGAAGAGAGAGGAAAATACAGAGGCAAGTCACTGGCTGCGCAGGTGGTGTCGTCAGCAAGGATTTGGCTTCTTGGATCATGGTCTCAGCTTCCTTTAGGTAGGACTTCTGGTGAGAGATGGGCTGGACCTCACAGCAGTTGACAAGAATGTGTTTCCCAAGAGTCTTGAGAATCTGATCAGGAGAGCTTTAAATAGATCTTGAGGGGGAGGGAGAAAACAATACAAACAACAAAAGAGCACCTGGCACTGGAGGTAATAGCTTCATTGATGCACAAGAAACTGAGGTGGTGCTCCAGAAACCTGCTAAAGGGCAAGAAACTACAAGAAGAAAGCAGCTTCATGGAACAACTCATGGTTTCAGTTGTCTCTATACAAATGCACATGGGAAACAAATAAGATGAATTGGAGCTTTTAATACAGGATGGCAAATACGACTTGGTGGGCATAACTGAAACCTGGTGGGATGAGACTCATGGAGACTCATGGAATGTAGGATTAAGGGGTACAACCTGTTCAAAAGGAATAGACCAAATAGGAAGGGGGGAGGAGCAGCATTGTATATAAAGGATGTGTGAAGAAATCCATGGCCTGGAGCATGAAAAGCAGATTGAGATGGGTAAAAATTGTAGGAGAGAGAAACAACAGTGACCTTACTGTGGGTGTGTGCTAGAGACCACCAAGTCAGACTGAAGACTTGGATGATGCCTTACTAGAGCAGATTACCAAACATTCAAAAAGGAGAGAAATAGTAATCACGGGGGACTTCCCTGATATCTGTTGGGACTCAAACTCTGCCAAGAGTGTAAGGTCTGACAAATTCCTCCATTGCCTCACTGACAATTTTATTTCTCAGACGGTGGAAGAACAAACAAGGGGATCATCTATCTTGGACCTGATCCTCACCAATAGGGAGGAACTGATTGATGAAGTGGAGTGCTTGGAAACTTGGGAGGAAGTGATCATGTTCTCCTGGGTTTCATGATACAGAGGCAAGGGAAAACTGAGTGTAGTCAAGACACACACTCTGGACTTTAAGAAGGCCAATTTCGAAAAGCTGAAGGAGCTACTGGGTGTGATCCCATGGTCAGAAATACTCAATGAGAAGGGAGTCCAAGAAGGATGGGGTTTCTAAAAGGAGAAATATTGAAGGCCCAAATACAGACAATACCAACAAGAAAGAAAAGTGGGAGGCATCTAAGGAAATGGGTGTGGCTGCATAAGGAGCTTACAGATGAGCTGAGAGTTAAGAAGGGCATGTATAAGAAATGGAAGAAAGGGGAAATCACAAAGGAGGAGTATACACAAGTAGCCAACAGTTGCAGAGGGAAAGTAAGGCTGGATAAAGCTCAGAATGAGCTCAGGCTTGCAAAAGAGGTTAAAAATAGCAATAAAAAGGTTTCTTCAGCCATGTCCAATGTAAGAGGAAGAACAAGCAAGTAGTAGGTCTTCTGCATGGGGAACATAGAGAAATACTATTGGGTGACAGAGAAAAGGTGGAACTACTCAACACCTACTTTGCTTCTGTCTTCACCCAAAAGGAAAGAGATGCCCAACCTGATAACAGAATAAATGATCTAAAGAGGGAGCTGCAGCCCAAGATAGGAAAAGTGGCAGTAAGGGAACACCTAGCTACTTTAAATGAATTCAAATCCCCAGGGCCTGATGAGCTGCATCCAAGGGTACTAAAGGAGCTTGCAGATGTAATTTCAGAGCCTCTGTCTATTATCTTTGAGAATTCTTGGAGAACAGGTGAGGTCCCTACAGACTGGAGGTGGGCAAATGTTGTCCCCATCTTCAAAAAGGGGAACAAGGAAGACCTAGGTAACTACCCACCAGTGAGCTTGACATCGATATCAGGGAAAGCCCTAGAACAGATAATTCAATGGTTGATCTGTGAGCATTTAGAAAAGGCTGTTGTGATTACTAAGACCCAGCATGGGTTTCTCAAAAATAAATCATGTCAGGCCAATCTGATTTCTTTTTCGGATGGAATTACAAAATTGGCAGACCAGGGAAATGCTGTGGACATAGTGTATCTTGATTTCAGTAAGGCTATTGACGAAGTCTGCATGATATTCCTGTGAGGAAGCTGATAAAATGTGGGTTGAATGAGGTAACTGTTAGGTGGATTTGTAGCTGGTTGACTGACTGAACCCAACAAGTACTCGTTAATGGTTCCTTGTTATCCTGAAAAAAAGTGACAAGTGGGGTGCCGCAGGGTTTTGTCCTTGGCCCATTGTTGTTCAACGTCTTTATAAATGACTTGGATGAAGGAATTGAGGGGATGCTTATCAAATTTGCAGATGACACCAAACTGGGAGGGGTAGCTAATGCCGCAGAAGACAGAATTGGAATTCAAAATGACCTTAACAGACTGGTGAAGTGAAGACAACACTGAGCTAGGTGGACTGATAGGAACATAAAGCAGTCTTCTATGTTCCTAAATTACAGGAATCATAGAACTGTAGAGTTGTAGAGTTGGAAGGGACCCAGAGGATCACCTAGTCCTTGGGTCTCCAGCTCTTTTTGGACTACAACTCCCATCATTCCTAGCTAGCAGGACCAGTTGTCAGGGATGATGGGAACTGTAGTCCAAAAACTGCCAGTGACCCAAGTATAAGAAACCCTAATTTGGTCAAACCCCCTGCAATGCAGGACCAAGCAGCTGTCGCATATGAGGACCAAACCTGCAACCTTTGCGTTATTGGCATACATAAGATCAGCACAAACGGCATACACAAGAAGAACGCTCTAGCATGTTTTACTAAAATCTACAGCCAGGCAATTATCCCTGGAGTTATCTGGCAAATTAGGGAGATGCAGCTGTATATTTTAAAAAAGCTATAATTGAAAGCTATTTATTCTGGCATATAAACAATATGTAAATTACAATAATCTTAAAAACCACTGTGGTGCATGATGCCAATAAATCCTGGTGATGCATGAGAACATCTAGTTGCACAGCCTTCTCTTGTAAGGCAGAGATTAGTCTCACATCCAGGGAGTGCCAGCCTTCTGCCAATCTAGGTTCTTTCCCCGAGAGCATCTACTATTTTCCTCCTATTGCGTGATTCACTGCATAGGCTTTCATTCATGCAGGAAACGTACATCTTTATATCCTCATAACACCTCACCATCCGGCCTCCAGCTGTTTAAAATGAAGTAAGATCGTGCTATCACCCTTGGAGCTTCAGTGGAAGCAAACCTTATTCAACTAGGCACTGATGTAAGAGCCTGCCACATATCGCTCCCATGGGCAGCCTCTCTGGTCTGGGTGAGGGAAGTAGAAGGATCCTAGTCCTCACCGCACTTAGAGGGGCCTCAGCTTTCAGAGGGAAGGAAACACAGAGATGGTTAGATACTGTATCCCTCAGTGTTATGTGATTTACTGAAATGCAATTTACAGGGCTACTATGTTAAGTTGCACAAAGCCTGGAGCCTAACAAAAAAAGTTTGCTTCAGTTTGCTAACCAAACTGGCTCCTTATTTTTGAAAGCTTTTATAAGAAGAAAATTTTAAATCCCAGCAGACAGGCATAGACAAATCTGGTTCAGATTGGGGAGCTGCCTCCAGAAGCTCAGAGCCAGAGCCAGTAACTAACAAATTTATTTTGCCTTATCTGTCCGAAGCACCTCAAGAATGCCACCTCCAGCAAAAACAGATATTTTCCCCCCAGTTATCAGGAAGCTGCTTCCCACAGAATACAGCATGCTTTCCCTTACTTCAGAGATAACCATTCCTCTTCCTCATGGGGCAGATCTGTTTTCATTTTTTCCTCACAAACCATCCATCTCAGTTATTCATACTGACAGAATAATTTCTTCCGTGCACAGCACCACCCGAACTAAAATTGCGCTCCCTGCCCTCAACCTTTATAAAAACATTTTTAAAAAGACTTCCCATCTTTGCTAAGGAGTTTGAAACAAAATTGTTTTACACAGGTCAGCGATGTGGCTGTTTGTGGCAGTGGTGTGCTTAATGCAACAGACAACAGAGTCAGAAGAATTCCTCAGGAAACGGCACTTGAATCCTCAAGAATTTATGACCACTGTGAGTTGCTTGTTCAGATGCATTTGGAAACAACAGGCTATTGCTAGGACAAAATAATTTGTACATATTTCTTTTAACAGATATTCCAAAGCATTTGCTTTTCATAGAAGGATTTCCAGGCCTCCCTGAGTTACCCCAAAGAGGGCTAGATGGATTATAATGGATGAATTTGCTTTTGTTCATTACAGCCAGCAGGGGAGGAAGGCAGGATCCATAACTTTTTTCTCTTCTCCTCAGCACCATTGTTCCTAAAATTCCTTGCAACACATCTAGACTTAGAAAAAAAGGTCTCGATTTGCTGAGGATTTCTTTGTTGTTGCAGAATGAAATAATCCAATATTGGGGATACCCCAGTGAAGAGTATGAAATCCTGACAGAGGATGGCTATTACTTACAAATAAACAGAATTCCTTACGGAATGCACAGTTCTGGGAAGACAGGTAATTTTGGAATATAACTGATGCTTTTATAGCATTTTTTTTTGAAGGAAGAGAAGGGGCTTAGAACTTTTCATCCTCTGCTCCCCAGTCCACACCACCAACGGGCAGGCACTCACATGCCAGGCAGGGGCAGGTTGCAGAGGGCACATGACAGGGATCTCTGCGTAGGGTGCCTGGTTTGCGTTACCTCAGATTGGGTGCCAGGCAATGGCCCCCTGCCCCCCCCCCCATGCTACACCACTGAGGAAGAGTATTGGCAGGATTCCACATAGCCCAGAGGAAACAAATGTGTGTGTATAAATGCTCAGAATGAGCTAATTCAGTTTAATGAAGTTCACTGAATTAGTTCAAAAATCTTTGAATTACACCTGACAGTTGTTGCCAAAATTGCTGGGTGAGCTGAATGCAAATTAACTTCATAGGGGGTTCAAGTTCATTCTGTGTTTTTATATAAGACTCTTTAGGCTCTTAAGTTTAAAGTTCCTAATGGTTGAAGAAAATAAGTCACACCCCACTGTGTGTGTTTTGATGTTTTCTTAGTCTTCTTTACCTATATGTTAGGTAGCGTCTCCACCCCCATCATTGTGCCCGGACACTGAGGTCCAGTGCCGAGGGCCTTCTGGTGGTTCCCTCATTGCGAGAAGCAAAGCTACAGGGAACCAGGCAGAGGGTCTTCTCGGTAGTGGCGCCCGCCCTGTGGAACGCCCTTCCAGCAGATGTCAAAGCGATAAACAATACCTGACATTCAGAAGACAACTTAAGGCAGCCCTGTTCAGGGAAGTTTTTAACGTGTGATATTTTACTGTATTTTTGGTTTCTATGGAAGCCGCCCAGAGTGGCTGGGGAGGCCCAGCCAGATGGGCGGGGTATAAATAATAAATAATTATTATTATTATTATTATTATTATTATTAGTCAGCACAGCAGCTTATAACATTCTGAAAGCTGAGGAAAATTTCAAGGTAATGTGAATTGAACTCTGAACTGAATATGAACCAAACAAGTTCATTTTATAAGTGGACAAATGCAAATTGGAACTAGTTCCTTTCTGGTCATGTTCAACCTGAACTAGAATTAGTTTCTTTTCTAAAAAGACTTTCAAAGCTCTGGTATCTATTTCTCTATGTGATGTTGTGTAAGAATGAAGTGTTTTGAATTCCACGTAAAGAAGCCATCCAGACAAGTCGAGGGATAGCATTCTCCATTCATCTTAGGATAACAGGGTTGGGAGCAGCAGGGCAAGTCAGATGGCAATTATGCCACTCTGTCCTCACTCTGCCTATCAGTAGGGCCAGCCCTGTATGGAATCTTGCCATAGGAAAGCAGCTACTGATTTTCAGCAATGGAGCTGAAGAATTTGCTGCTTTCTCATCTGATCTTTACTGCCTTTGTATTGGCTATGATTTGTATTGTGTTGCTTTTGTATTGGCTATGATTTCGAAGAAGCATTTGTTCATACAGTATTTTTTAATAGTGCCTAAAGGTGAGGCAGCCATGGGTCATCACCTAATTACAAGTAATTATCTCTGTCCTATATATAATTGTGTTTTTCCTGGACTAGATGAAAGCATCGCAAAGATCAATGTTGCTGAAGTGAACACAAATAAACTATAAGGTAGATTGCCCATTTTGTTTCTGTTTCCCCCCCCAGGTCCTAGGCCAGTTGTTTTACTGGTACATGGTATTTTGCTTGAAAGTAGGTGCTGGATTGCAAATCTTCCCAACAATAGCCTGGGATTCTTCCTAGCAGATGCTGGTTATGATGTTTGGATGATAAATGCTAGAGGGACCAGCTGGTCTAGAAGACACAAGACTCTGTCAATTGACCAAGAAGAATTTTGGGATTTCAGGTATAAAGAGACACCTTGTAACATGGATAATTGAGACAATGGTAGTAACTGCTGTCTCTGAAGTACAACTGCTAACAACATATCTTTTTTCCTTCTGTTGTGTCAGAAGTGCTTCAATCCTGGAAAGAGTTCCCAAAGATGGGACATGGTGGATTGCGGTTCCTTTTTTTAAAATTTTATTTTTAGAGCCAACATCAACATGACAAAATGCATGCCTTTCTCTATATTCATGCAGACTGAATTTGTGGGGCTCTGAGATCATAATTAGGACTGTGCATTCGCTCTGGACAAATCTTAGGACCTGAACTGAATCAAGCCAATCTGGAATTGTGGATTGTGGAAATGGTGGATTGTGCAAGAAGAGGGTGGGTGAAGAAGGAGATGCAGGTGAAGGCTCTCACCTGTCATACTTCTCCCTGCCTCTGCTGATGTCATAGGAGCATGCTTGTCAGTTCACAGTTCAAAGAACTCATCTCTGCCTCTTGGCCTTCCTCATCACACCCTCCTGCTTCAGGTTTTGCTTCTGATGCTGGACGACTTTCTGCCACAGACTCTCATAGCTCACTAAGCCTTCTTACTGCTTCAGCGTCTGACACCTCCTCTTTCCTGTTGTCTCCATCTTCTCCTTCTGACCTCTTGTTGTCGTTCCACCACCACTCCCCGGGCTCTGAGCCTTCTTCCCTGGTGACCCCCCAGCTGGTTCCTCACACCATTCCTCTGCATCAAACAAGTCCATGGAAGCTGACTACATGCTTATTTAGGGTTTAAAACCTGACTGAACATGAGGTTGGGGAGGGGGAGAGAAAGAAATGGTGAACTCCCCATTGACCCCTGAAGACTGTACTATTCTTTTGGCGTGGGTGGGAGTGAGGAAACAGAGCTAGTTGGAATTTCTTACATTTCCCCCTTACAATTTATATATCACTTGATTACAATTCTCACGAAGTGGTGGCATTCTAAGTAGTTAACATGCATTTTTAAAGGCACAATCCTGTATAGGAATGGAGAATCACAGCCCAAATTACCTCATTATTTGAGGCAGAGTCCATGCATACTTCTAATAGTGTGCTTTAGTAATGAAACAGAAGGATAAGTGGAGAAAACTTCACCTGCATTTTGTATGTATGACTACAAAGCGGGTGGCGCTGTGGTCTAAACCACTGAGCCTCTTGGGCCTGCTGATCAGAAGGTCAGTGGTTCGAAGTCCCACAACGGAGTGAGCTCCCGTTGCTCTGTCCCAGCTCCTGCCAACCTAGCTGTTCAAAAGCACACCAGTGCAAGGAGATAAATAGGTACGACTGTGGTGGGAAGAGAAACGGCGTTTCTATGTACTCTGGTTTTCGTCACGGTGTTCCGTTGCGCCAGAAGCGGTTTAGTCATGCTGGGCACATGACCCGGAAAGCTGTCTGGGGACGGGGACAAACGCCAGCTCCCTTGGTCTGAAAGTGAGATGAATGCCGCAACCCCATAGTCACCTTTGACTGGACATTAATAATAATAATAATAATAATAATAATAATAATAATAATAATAATAATAAACTTTTATTTCCACCCCACCCTTCCCTGTTCAGAAAACCAGGCTCAGACAAATTTAACAACAAATTTAAAACACTTACGGTAATTGATGCAACAAAAAACAGCATAAAATACAGTAACTTAACCCTCCACGGGTCCTTTACCTTTACCTTAATGTCTTACAGCATCCATGAAATTGCGATATATGATATTCCAGCAACAATAAATTTTATCCTGCAGAAAACTAAGCAAGAAGGATTGTATGTTATCAGTCAGTCTCAGGGTGGGACACTTGGTAAGTAATAAGAAATGAATGGAATGTGCTTACTGCCCGAGCCCTTTTTTAAAAGGCCTTCTTACAATAAAAAATTCCCATCACTGGTATAGTTGAAACCTAAAAATTTTGATGAAGGAACAATAAGCAAGGACTTTTGGCTCCCATATGTTTGGCACAGCTGCTGAATTCTGGAATTCTTTCTCTTTGGCAGGTTTAATTGCCTTTTCACTCTTGCCACAGCTCGCTCAGAAAGTCAAGCTCTTTATAACTTTTGGTCCTACCTACACACTTGTCGGCACCAGTGGACCTTCTGTGCTATTTCTCAGTCTTCCAGATGCATTAATAAGCGTAGGTATTTCTCATAGGTTTTTATAGTGTGTTAATGTGGCCTTCTAACATAATCAGTTTAGTGATATGGACAGTTCAACCTTTAAGTTTATCCATTTGTCATTATTTTGGGGGAGGTCATGTAATATCTGGTTTAATTAATCTTCACATATTAATCCTAAAGAGAATAATAATAATAATAATAATTTTTATTTATACCCTGCCCTCCCCAGTCAATACTGGGCTCAGGGTGGCTAACACCAAACATAAAAACAATTGATTGAAATACAGCTTTAAAAACAAGATTAAAATACAACATTAAAACATTAAAATGCAGCCTGATTTCAGTGGAAACTCAAAAACTTTTTGGGGGATGAAAACGTCAAGTCTTCACCAAGGCTAACTATCCAGACTGGTCCTACATGGGCAAGAAAAAAGCCAGGGAAGTCCCCAAATAGGTGTTCCAACACAGAAGGAGAAAGGAAAAAAGAAAGAGGGGGAGCAATCAAATTGATTCCAAGCCAAAGGCCAGGCGGAACAACTCTGTCTTACAGGCCCTGCTGAAAGAAATCAGATCCTGCAGGGCCCTGAGACAGAGCGTTCCACCAGGCTGGAGCCAGTATTGAAAAGGCCCTGGCTCTGGTTGAAGCTAATCTGACTTCCTTAGGGCCCGGGACCTCTAGGGTGTTGCTATTTATGGACCTTAAGGTCCTCTGTGGGGTATATTGGGAGGGGCGGTCCCATAGGTATGAGGGTCCTAGGCCGTGAAGGGCTTTAAAGGTCAAAACCAGCACCTTAAATATGACCCTGTACTCCACCGGGAGGCAGTGCAGCTGGAAAAGCACTGGGTGAATATGCTCCCATGACAGAGACCCCGTGAGGAGCCTCACTGCAGCATTCTGCACCCGCTGGAGTTTCTGGGACAGTTTCAAGGACAGCCCCACATAGAGCAAATTACAGTAGTAAAGCCTGGAGGTGACCGTTGCATGGATCACTGTGGCCAGGTCGGGGCGGGAAAGGTAAAGGACCAACTGCTTGATGCAGCGAAGGTGAAAAAAGGTCACATTGGCTGTTGCTGTAACCTGCGCCTCCATGGAAAGGGAGGCGTCAAGGATTATACCCAAACTCTTAACAGAAGGCAATGGTACTAATTGGGCCCTTGCAAGAGAAGGGAGTTGGTCCCTCATCCCCATGCCATCCCGACCCAGCCAGAGGACCTCCGTCTCTGAAGAATTTCGTTTCAATTGGCTCCCACGAAACCATCCAGCCATAGCTTTCAAGCATCTGGTCAGTGTGTCCAGGGCTGAGTCGGTGTGGCCATCCATCAGCAGATAGAGCTGAGTGTCATCAGCATATTGGTGACAACCCAGCCCAAAGCTCCAGACAATCTGGGCAAGGGGGCGCATAAAGATGTTAAAAAGCATTGGGGAGAGGATTGTGTGCTGCAGCACTCCACACACCAAGGAGTGGCATGACGACATCTCCCTCCCTAGCGCCACCCTCTGTCCCCAACCAGAAATAAAGGAGCACAGCCATTTTCGGGCTATGCCCTGTATCCTCACGTCAGCGAGGTGGTGGTCCAAAGATCATGATTGACCATGTCAAAGGCTTCTGACAAATCTAAGAGTATCAGCAGTACCGACCCGCCTCAATCCAGTTGTCTACGGAGATCATCTGTTAGGGCGACCAGAGCCGTCTCGGTCCCAAAAGCAGGACGGAACCTGGACTGAAATGGATCTAAAGCCGATGTTTCCTCCAGAAACCTACCAAAGAATCACAAAGATCTCTGTGTTTATTTTACAGCTCATATGGGGAAAGAAAGAATTTGTCCTTTTCAGTAACAAACTGAAAAGACTGAATGCCAAGCTGTGTAGTTATCCATTGATAGACAATTTTTGCCTCCAACTTATTTTCCTTTCTGTTGGATGCAATCAAAATAACTTAAATGTGGTAAGTTGTCTCTTTATTTTTCTACATATATTGACAAAAAACAGTACTCCGTTTTTTCTCTCTAACCAGCAATATATTTTGCAGAAAACCGAATTCATTTTAATAGATAAATTATAAATTAGCGATGGAATCCAAAACATGTGTATTCAGAAATTAATATGATGGAGTCCAATGGTACATGCTCCAAGATATGCATTTATGGGATTGTAGCCCTAAAGGTACAATTGACTAACCAAGTCTGTAAATGTTGCAACTAGAATTGAGAATAATCTTTGTGGAAGAGACCCTGGTACATTACAGAAAGAATAAGCTGTATGGTTTTTGTTATAACTTTTATTGACGAAGTTGATAACAGATGAAAATTAAAATATTTTAACTTACCTTTTTAATTTTTTTGAATGTTTATAACTTAAAAAAAATAATCCAAGAAATTCACAAGAAGGCTTTCAAGCAAACAATAGAAAAAAACAAATGCACTATTAAAATAGTATAAAAATAAAAAAGCAAATCAGCACAAAGCTCCTAACCTCTGCTGCCACATCTTTCCTGAGCTGTATGCTTTCCTATATAATTTGCCTTTGCCTTTCATTAAGGTTTATATATATTGTATTGCCCTGGGCTGGATCTAGACACATCAAAGAAGGATTTCAGTTAAACACCTTGTAAACTTTGTATGAAAAATCGGGTTGGCAAAAACGGGACTCCACAGCACCACCTGGTGTCACAGTCTTATAATGCATATAAAACACTGTCAGGGAACTGACATCAGAAGGAGAGAAGGAGAGGGTCTCAGATTCTGCAGGTGAAGGTCCCAGCACAAGGGGGAGACCCAGCTTGGTGGAAGGGGAAGGAAATGCGCGTTACACCAAGAGTCCAGGAGAGCCAGGGGGAGAGGAGGTGGAAGGGCTCCGGGATTCTTCCCTGGAAATCAGTGAAGAGAGCCCAGGCACTCCGCTACCCACGCCTACCCTGCGCAGGAGACTCCCGCGCAATGAGAGGCGGAGACGATTAGGTGTCAAACAGCTTTTATGCTGGCAGAGGTTTAAGAAACGCCCACAGACAGATTCTGCCAGTGACTGAGGCAGTCAAGCGGAGATGGGCTGTGCAGTCCGAAGGGTTTAACCAGGCAATCAAGCACCCAAACGGGGTCGGTTTACGCACGAGTAACTCCAAACCACTACAAACACATATCTCTAGAGCCCGCTTTGAGACAATGCCCTCAGCAGTGCTATACGGCAAATTCACGCGGGTACCAATGCATGCGCGTCTCTGCCCCTGTATGTCTAATAAGGTAGAATCTGTTACACACATCCTTCTATTTTGCGAATTTTATAGTGAAGAATGAGTTCAACTAATTTTGCCACTTTTATCAAAATTTATACCCCTACAACATTATTTGGAATCCTCCCCCGAAATTCTCCGAAAATACCTTCTGGAAGATTCCTCAAGCTCAATATCATATGTGCTGGCCAAATTTTGGACTTTAGTAATCAGGAAGCGTAAATCTCTTCTGTTGAATGGCACACTGCGAAGTTCCCTTGTGTAATCCTTTTTTTCTTTTTTCTTTTTTCTCTCTTTTCTGATGCCGTTGTTGATTTCTTTTTGTCTGATCTTGTGGTGTTTAGTGTCACTAGCTTTTGCCGCAATAAAACTTGAAACTTGGAAACTTGGAAACATATAAAGTGCTTTTTCTTTGCCAATGTAGTTGAGTCCCAAATGCTTGTGACTTTTTGCTAGTGTAATTCATCCCTTCCCCCCACTCACTGAATATTCAGAGACGATTCTAAAAAAATGTTTCCATGCCTATTATTTCTCCCCTAGAGTCAAGTAGACGTGATTGTTGGAATTTTCCCTGATTTTGGTTCTGTAAAAAACTTGATCCACTTGGCCCAGGTAGGGTTTAATGCATGTTTTTCCTTTTTTTCAAAATTCAGAGGTCATTTGATATCCAAATGCATGTTTAATGTGTGTGAATAAGGGTTTTCTTTTTTAATTTTCAGAAGGTGACAGGAAAGTTACAGTAAATGAAAAACAATATAGCAATAAATGGTACATGCTATATATGATATATATGCATCTACAGGGGTCAAAACTGGCAATAATAACATGCAAATGAAAGCAAATATAAATATCCTTAAATAGGTTGCATGAAAGAAGAATGAAAGAGCAAGTTTTCTATTGCATTGTCTAAAGAGTAATTCTTAAATTCAAACATCAAGCAATTTTTTATTCATTCTGTTTGAGGTGAGAGTTAAGTTTGAATTTTCACACTGCAGTTTCTCATTACCAGGGGTTTTTTTCAGCCAGAACTCACTGGAACTGAGTTCCGGCACCCCTTTGTTGTGTTTCTCCACCTCATTGGTGGGTTCCGGCTGATCTGTAATTTTCTGGTACCGTCCCCTTGCAGAGGGCTGCGCAACAGCAGTGTTGGGTGGCACAGCACTTTGGGCTGCTTGGCAGAGGCGGTGGTTGGCAGGATGATTTGGGCAGTGTGGTAGAGGTCGCCGGTGAAAGTTTTTATTTTTTCCCTGCAGGGGTGCTCCGCCTAAAAATAGGAGAGCTCCGACACCTCTTTTTCTAGAAAATAGCCCTGCTCATTACCTTTTACAATTTGGCAAGAACTGGCATTGTGAATATTGCAAATTATTCTTCCCTGTGGAATGCCCTCCCTTCAGATATCAGCCAGATGGGTGGGTTATAAATAATAAATTTATTTATTATTATTATTATTATTATTATGATTAAACCAATTATATGACTAGAAACAGAAAAATATGTAATGGACTTAAATATTTAGGGTGGATCTATACTCATAGTTTTTAATGTTAAGGAAGGGTTAAGGAATTGGTTTTGATAACATAATACATCCTACTTTTTACATTCATAATGCATTATTGCCTTGTCTTTTTTATTGCTTAATTTGTAACTGTTTTATGCTGTTTTATTGGTGAAAAACTGCTCATATGTCTCTATATAGTGTTTTACCTTCTAAAAAAACGCATTCATACTCTGCTCCCCTCCAATGGAATTTGAGAGGTGGTGTTCAGTTTCATTTAAATGTGAAAGGCTTACATGCACAAATAACAAAGGACTCAGAGGGACGTAGGGAGGGAGGATTAAACTGTGACACCAGAGGGCGGATCAGAGCAACCAGCAGCAGGGAAAGAAAAAGCATTTTGGAAATGGTGTAGCCAGGTATTACTTACATTTGGTGGAGGGGAAAAAACACACACCATCCCAGGGTAAAAAAAAGTTTTAATTCACAAGTATGCCCTGTGTTGTTTTAGAACGACATCTCTAATATTATTCTGGAAATAACGTTAAACAGGTCAGGGTAGATCCAACCTAAGAAATCATCAAGCAATTTTTTTATTCTTTATGTGCAAGTTATAAATATGTCACAATTAAAAATTCAAATATTCATTCCTTTTCCTCAACTTTTTTAGATTTTTAAATCAAAAGAACTGAAACGTTTTGACTATGGCAGTAAGAACAAGGCTATATACAACACGGTAATTACAAGGGTTGTGGTGATGGGGATTTGTCATAGATTTCAATGTGTTAAAGCTGCATATTTATTTGGGACTAACTCTCATTGAACTGAGTGGGTCACCCCAAAAAGAAAAGAAAAGGTTAAGGAGTAAACCCTGCACAAATGTGGAGTGGAATCCCTGAGATGGTTAGATGGCACCTTGTATGTCTCCTTCTAAGAACCTCTGCAGCCAAGCTGGTGCCAAATGTATTGTTCATATTTCCTTTGGAGAACATCCATGAACCAAGAGTGGGGTCTTGTTGTCCGGACACCCCAGGGATGCCATGCACACTGCCCAGGCTTGCGTCACTGGCAAGGTCACCTGGGCACTGCTAATGCAGCGGTTTGACTTCATCGCTGGAATCACACTCCATTGTCTCCGAAGACAGCTGGATGCCAACATTCTAAACCTAGATCCCATCTCTCTCCTGGTAAACCCTTAATACTCCCTTGTACAGCCATGCCTGGGCCTCATGGCTGAGGTCCTGGGTTCCACAGCCCAAAAGAGCACCAGATAACACAGGCAAAGGCAAACAAGTACGGTGACAGTACCTAGGCCAGCATCGACATGCCGTGCTCCAAAAAGCTGATGCTGGTCGCCACAGCATCTTTCCTTCCTCATTCTTTTGTAAAGGTTTTTATAGTCAGGGGTGACCACCCTGGCCTGTGTAGGGTTACAGATGCTTATTTCATTTCATTTCATTTCATTTATCATATTATCCTTTTCTTACATTGGGATGCTGCTTATTCCCAAGGAGATGTGTTTAGCCTCAGAAAAGCAGAAACAAACTCAATTTTATTCCTGTGGTCTTGATGGTACTATGTTTTAAGTGCTTTTTAAAATATAAAGCCGCACATGTTCAGCATGTGTGTTTGTGGATGTGGATAGATAGATAGATGGAGATAGATAGATGATAGATGACAGATAGATAGATGATAGATGATAGATGATTGATAGATGATAGATGATAGATAGATAGACGATAGTTTCAAAACTGTTATTTTGTTTGCAGAAGCTGGAATGTAGAAGCAGTTGTGAAGCAATGAAATGGTAGTGGGAAAGAAATATCTTGCATAGCCTTCTAAAACTTTCTAAACCTTATGCCTGCAAGACCGTGAAGTCCAGATCCTAAAAGTACCAAACTGAACCATTTGTCACTTTGTCAGACATACACATTACTCCTGACACAGATCCTCAATGTCATCATACATCCCACAATATTAGCATATGGTATGCTCAATCAGTCATCCAATAATTATCCTGGACACATATATCAACAATGCACAGCAAATCATTAATGCATCACAGATCCATTAAGATATTGGAGAAGAAAAGTTGAAACTAATGCTCAAGGTACCATTTTCCAGGACCATAGGTCACACATCCCAGAGTTTTGATAGTCCTGCATATGAACAGTCAGAAGGTTAAGAAAACAGGTAAAAATCTATGATTGGTAGGTGAAACCCATTTTAATCACTCTAATCTTTTCATCCACAGACCACTCCTCCATTCTATCAAATTGAAGACATGGTTGTGCCAACTGCTGTGTGGTATGGTGGACATGATATTATAGAAAACATAAAGGACATTAAGCTGTTGCTTCCTCGGATCTCTAATTTAGTTTTCCATAAGTATGTTCCTGAATGGCAGCATTCAGATTCTTTATTTGGTCTTGATATTCCAAAGCAAGAATTCCCTGATGTATTGTATCTGATGCAGAAGTACAAATAAAATGTTATAAAAGTCATATATACTGCATATATTCCATGTGACTGTAGATGCTGCAGTGGGTCTACATAATGTGTATTCATGATCAATTTGTAAATTGAGGTGTGTGTCCCCCCCCATTACCTATTGCTCATCATCAAATTAATTCTACCTGCTGGCACTGACACAACCGATAGTAGAATTCATTGACCTTGCATCTGTCTCCTGACATTCTAATCTTACTTCCCTGTTCCCAAAATGTGTCAAGGAGCTTCAAGGAGAGAAGCTGGATTAAGATGCTGGTGCTAACTCAGTACAGCAGCCAAGTGACATGGTGTCTCTGGAGAGTATGCTAGAGCACCCTCCTTCCCCCAGGTCTCAGAGCAGAAAGCTAAACAGGCACAAAGGGATTTCCTTAGAAGCCACAGTAGATGGCAGGAGGAGTCTGAGGACTACGAAGTAACAGCCAGGGGGAAGGCAGGAGCATCATTCTGAGCAACTTCAGTTCAAGTGTTGAGGTTTACATTCCATGTCTCCATGTGTGTTCATTAGTTGAAATAAAGCACTGAAAGAAGATCTCCGAGTCTCTGATTTCGCTAGGTCGCTAGCCAGTGAGCTGTTGAAGGCAAGCTCCTGTCAGCCACTGGCCTAATCTAGCAGGCTTTTATTATGTTCTTATTAAATACAGGAATCTCTGTCCCATTTAGAGGTAACACTAGGAGGCAGGATTTTGGCTATGTACCTATGGCTCCATGGGGTGCCATCATGAGCATAAACAAGTACTGTGGGTTCTATCCTCAAGACTGGAGTTCTGCAGCTGACTCTTGGATTTCTACCAAGGCTTTCAACATGACCACAGTCCATTTCAAACAGGGTTTTGGCCTGGTTTTGGCACAGAAACTGCTTTGGTTGCCCTGTATGATGACCTCTGTTGAGAGAGAGACAAGGGAAACATGTCCCTGTTAATTCTTCTTGACCTCTCAGCAGCTTTCGATCAACCATCAACCAACATCAACCACCGAACTAAGGGTGCATGGCACCCCTTTGCGGTGGTTCCAGTCCTACTTGGTCGTTCCCAGAGGGTGTTGCTTGGGGAATGGTTTTCAGCCCCATGGAACCTTCAATGTGGGGTTCTACAAGACTCAATCCTATCCCCTACGTTGTTTAACAACTACATGAAACCGCTGGGTGGGGTTATCCGGAGGTTTGAAGTATGTTGTCAGCAGTATGCTGATGACAGTCAGCTCTATTTCCCCTTTACATCTGCAGGTGAGGCAGTGGAAGTGCTGGACCAGTGTCTTGCCTCGGTAATAGACTGAATGAGAGCCAACAAACTGAAACTCAATCCAGATAAGACTGAGACACTGTTAGTGGGTGTGAGAAGATGGGTGGGAGATTGCCTGCTCTTGATGGGGTTACACTTCCTTTGAAGGAGCAGGTTTGTAGCTTGGGGGTACTCCTAGATCCTTTGTTGTCACTCGAGGCTCAGGTACAACTTAAGTGGATACAAAATAATGGCGACAACACACACAGGACAAAAAAAAATGTAGACATAAAATTTATATACCACTTAATATAAGCATAAATCTCCAGGTGAGTTATATTTTTTAAAATATGCAAGGAAGTGTAATGTACATTTCAATGCTTTGAACTGATTTTATAATGAAATGATTTTAGAATGTTGTATCATTCGGCTGGGGAGGGCGGGATATAAATATTTTTTTTAAGAATTATTAGTAGTAGTACTGCCTTGCCACAAGGCATATGATAGTATGTGATAATTCTTTTCTCATAACTGTTTTGCTTACTCTGCATCTGTTCCATAATTAACAATGCACCCAGAAAGACACGTTTTGCATAATTATATAGTAGCTGATGAAAGTGATCTTATTCTCTTCAGTTTATTACAACCTAAGTCTTCCTCAGTGTGTATTAGAGATGTGGTTGCTATTGATGTACAGGAGCAGGTAAGCAAAAATCTTTTCTTCCCATAACTTTTTCATTTATTTTCTGGCAACATACCTTGGTCTTACATTTTAATAGCTTGCATTTAACAAAGTTAGACATTACTATCATAAAGTACAACTTCTGCTGGCACAGAACTGATTCAGCTGTGGGGGAATCACAAATTGTGTACAGAATTATTTATACCTTACTTTCTGAATTGCATTTGTAGTCTGCCCTTCCTCCATTAGGAAAATACAATATTTAAAAATGCTTAAAACATTAAAAAACAGTAAAAAACATCTAAAAAGCAAAAAACCAAAAAATATTTTTTAAAGCAAATTTAAAAACAGGTATAACAAACACAAATGTCATATGTTTTGGAATACCGTACTTGCTTATTCTTTCCCACCAGTGTATGGTTTCATTGTGGGTTAGAATTGAGCTTGCTTAGCCTTATTTCCAAAACAAAAAAAAATCTTTCCAGTAGCACCTTAAAGACCAACTAAGTTAGTTCTTGGTATGAGCTTTCGTGTGCATGCACACGAAAGCTCATACCAAGAACTAACTTAGTTGGTCTTTAAGGTGCTACTGGAAAGAATTTTTTTTGTTTTGACTATGGCAGACCAACACGGCTACCTTATTTCCAAGACAGTCATTACTTTTCCTCATGCGGCAGATCTTTTTTCAGTATTTCCCCATAAACTATCCATCTCAGTGACTAATATTTTCAGAAGAGATACATTATTTCTTCCCTGCACAGCATCACCCGAACTAAAATTGCGCTCCCTGCCCAGGGCACTTCCCATCTTTGCTAAGGTGTTTGAAACAACAGATATTGTTTTACAGAGGTCAGCGATGTGGCTGTTTTGGGCAGTGGTCTTCTTATTCCAACAGACAACAGAGTCAGAAGAATTCCTAAGGAAATGACACTTGAATCCCCAAGAATTTATGACTATTGTGAGTTGCTTGTTCAGATGCATTTGGAAACAACAGGCTATTGCTAGGACAAAATAATTTGTACAAATTTATTTTAACTGATATTCCAAAGCATTTGCTTTTCACAGAAGGATTTCTAGGCCTGCCTGAGTTACCCCAAAGAGGCTTGATGGATTATAATGGACGGATTTAGCTGACCCCAAGGCCATATGACATGTTCTGTTTAATGCTTAATACATGGTGTATGGCTAGCTCCTCCTGGTTGCTTTTGTTCATTACAGCCAGAAGGGGAGGAAGGCAGGATCCAGGACTTTTTTCTCTTCTCCTCAGTACCATTGTACCTAAAATTCCTTGCAGCACATCTAGACTTAGAAAAAGAGGTCTCGATTTGCTGAGGATTTTTTTGTTCTTGCAGAATGAAATAATTCAATATTGGGGATACCCCAGTGAAGAGCATGAAATCCTGACAGAGGATGGCTACTACTTGCAAGCAAACAGAATTCCTTATGGAATGCACAGTTCTGGGAAGACAGGTAATTTTGGAATGTAACTGGGCTTTATAGGGTTTTGTTTTTTGAAAGCAAAAGTACTGGCAGGATTCCACATAGCCCAGAGAAAACAAATGTGTGCATGTAAATGCTCAGAATTACCATAGTTTCTGGGTTCGGAGTGGTTGAAGACAATAAGTCACATCCCACTGTGTGTGTTTGATGCAATCTTAGTCTTCTTACCTACATTTTAAATGTCAGCACAGCAGCTTGTAACCTTTCGAAAGCTAAGAAAAAATGCCAAGGATAATTTGAATTGAACTCTGAACCAAACATGAACTGAACTACTTCATTTTGCAATTGGTCAAATGTGAGCTGGAAGAAGTTGCTTTCTGAGCCATTAACAACGTGGTGGCATGGACTAAATGTTTAATTTATTCCGTGGAGCCAGGCCCTGCTCAAGACATTTTGCTGTTTGATGTGAAGGCCAACAGCCCTCTTCAATCCATTCCATGTACAGAAGCCATTCAGATGAGCCAAGGGACAACATCTTTCATTTATATTAGGATATAAGGGTTGGGAAACGGGACACGGGTGGCGCTGTGGGTTAAACCACAGAGCCTAGGACTTGCCGATCAGAAGGTCGGCGGTTTGAATCTCCATGACGGGGTGAGTTCCCGTTGGTCGGTTCCTGCTCCTGCCAACCTAGCAGTTCGAAAGCACCTCAAAGTGCAAGTAGATAAATAGGTACCGCTCCGGCGGGAAGGTAAACAGTGTTTCCGTGCGCTGCTCTGGTTCGCCAGAAGCGGCTTAGTCATGCTGGCCACATGACCCGGAAGTTGTATGCCAGCTCCCTTGGCCAATAAAGTGAGATGAGCGCCACAACCCCAGAGTTGGCCACGACTGGACCTAATGGTCAGGGGTTCCTTTACCCTTTACCTTATAAGGGTTGGAAACAGCATGGTAAGTAACATGGTAATTATGAAGCTCTGTCTTCCGACTTCCCACTCCAAATCCTCTGCTACCTGAAGCAACTGCCTCATTCTGCATATCAATAGGGCCAGCCAAACTATTATTAAATAGTGCCCAAAGGCGGGACAGCCATGACACATCACCTAGTTAGAAGTAATTATTTCTTTCATATACATAATTGTATCTATTCTGGACTAGAGGAGATCATCACAACGCACAATATTGATGAAGGGAAAAGAAATTATCTAAAAGGTATATTGTCTACAATATTATCTAATGCCCTTTATCATGTTCCCCCCAGGTCCTAGGCCAGTTGTTTTACTGGTACATGGTGTTTTGAGTGAAGGTAGGGCCTGGATTGTAAATCCTCCCAACAATAGCCTAGGATTTGCTCTAGCAGATGCTGGCTATGATGTTTGGCTAATAAATAATAGAGGTACCAGCTGGTCTAGAAGACACAAGACTCTGTCAATTGACCAAGAAGAATTTTGGAATTTCAGGTACAGTATAAAGAGACAACTTGTAGCTTGGATAGTTGAGACAATTATAATGACTGCTGTCTCTGAAGTACAACTGCTACCAACATATCTTTTTTCCTTGCGTTGTGTTAGGGTCCTTCAGTCCTGGAAAGACTTCCCAAAGATGGCCAATGGTGGATTGTGGTTCTTTTTCTTAGCTAAC